GAGGACACTGGGACGCAGGGTCTAGAGTCTTGGTCTCTGAAGGAGGGGTGGGGGGACGAGGGTGAGCTGTCCTGAGAGCGGAGATGTGACGGCAGTCTATGGTGGCTTTTGCCCATGTGGCAGCGTGACCTGGCCCTGAGGAGACCTGGCTGTGGCGAGGGAGGAGTCCAGGCTCTGCCAGGTGACCGGTCCTGGGTAAGGGAGGGGCCTTGACGCTCTGTGGTCCAGCACCTTCCTAGGGGATGGGGCCGTGTACCTCGGCAGGTGCCCGTAGGAGGGCAAGAGAAAGTTCTGGATAAACTAAAGCACCAAACTGACTCAATGGACGGGAAGTCCCTCGGGTCCAGTGACCTTTGTCGTGTGTGTGTGTGTGTGTGTGTGTGTGTGTGTGTGTGTGTTGGTGGCGGTGGTGGGGGGCGTGAGCCCTTAGAGAAATCTCCCTTCAAGGTATCTTTGGGTCTTGCACTGGCCGTACCTGTGGCTGGATCAAACTCTCAGCCAAGGATGTGGGTGGGTGGGGATCTAGGCAGACTTCTCCTCCTCGAGTGGAGAACCACACCCTTCTTCATGCCCCTCTTTGGGGAGCCCCAGCACCCCGGGGACCCAGCTCCACACACTTCGTCCCAGAACTTCCTCTCCCCGTGTGCCCCCTGTCCTGTTCCTCTGGGTCCAGCAATCCCATCAGCCCTCAGGTGACCAGGGAGGGGTGGGGAGAAGGGAGGAAGCGGGGGTGGAGGGAGAAGGGCTGAGACCTGAGACACAGAGAGAAGAGAAGCCTGGGGATGGGCAGTGGGGGAGATGGGGGTGTGAGGGAGGGCCGAAGAGGGTGGGGCAAGGCTGGAGCCTGGCCCCTTGCCTAGGCATCTGAAGTGGGGGGAAGTATCTGAGGAGTTGGTGAGCACCCCACCTGAGGAAGGAAACCTTCATCAAATAAACAAACAGCCAACACAGGGCTCCTGTGCAGAAGGCGGCCAGCAGCGGGGGAGGCCAGCCCTGTGGGGAGGGAGGCCTTTGAACAGGCCCTTCGGACCCTGGCCGCTGGCAGGAATGCTGGAACAGGGTGGGGAGCACCCTGGTGGTTTGGAGCAGGAAGCTGGAGCCTGGGGTGGGTGGGTTGAGCTTGGCTGCTTCTAGGAAAAAGAAAAGTGTCGATTCAGCCCCTCTGGTCCACGCCTCTTCCCCAACCCCCTTTCCTCAGCTCCAGGTCACCCAGGTCAGCCCGAGAGACAGACAGCCTCTCCCCGCCCAGCACTCTCCGCTCCAGCCCTGCTGCAGCACTGGGACCCTGGGCCCCGGCACCAGAAAGCAGCATTTCTGAGTCCACAGGCAAAGCCCCAAAGTTCTGACACGGAGCGCCCGGCACGATGGCAGTGCCCAGGTGTTTGGTCACGGTCACTAGGGACACGGGTTGTCCCGGGGCTCCTCTAGAGCACAGCATCTTAGACTTTGGGTGTCGTGAAAACGTTGGCAACAGCACAGGGCTTCTGAGCGCACACAACGACCAAGACGTCACTCAAGCTCAAACGCATCATGAAGCTGGTGTTCCTGGCAGCGAGGGCCCACGCTGCACACGGCCCGGTGAGGACAGCGTGCGAAGCCTGGGCCAGAGCCCGCATGGCGGCGATGGAGGGCAGTCCAGAAACACGGCCAGAGAGCGACAGAGAGGCGCACCCCTGCAGTCAGAGATACTGCGGGTGAGATCTGACAGGGACTGAGACGACAGGGAGAGAGACATGGAGAGAGATGGGAGAGAGAGAACCTGTGTGTGAGAGACAGACAGAGACAAGGAGTAAAACTGAGGAGAGTGTGTGTGTGTGTGTGTGTAAGTGAATGAGAGAGAGAGAGAAATGGAGGAAAGCAGTAGGGAGAAGGGCAGGTGGGAGAGAGACAGGAACAGGAGAACCACCTCGGAGGAGGGACGAACATACAGAGACAGAGGGAGGACAAACCTGGTGGAGGCAGCCAGGCAGACAGGGGACAGGAAGATGGGCGGTTTGGGGGCATGGGCACAGGGGGCACAGGGTCGGGGGCAGGGACACAGCGGTGGGCACACTCACAGGCGAGGAGCAGAGTGGGGGCTCACAGAGAACCAGAGGAAGACAGACAGCCCAAGAGGAGGCTCAGGTCCTGCACACTCCCCCGAAGGACCTGGGGCTCTGGACCTGGGTGCTGTGGGATTTGGGGGGCCTCCGTCCCGGGAGGGCCGTACTGCAGCCTGCTGTCCCCAATGCGGAAGGCCCGCTGGCACCTGGCCCCCAGCCACCCTCCAGCAAGCCAACCTGGAGCCACTGGGGCTGGTGGGGTCACCTTAGGTGAATGTCACGTCACTGACCAGGGAGCGTGATTGACTGTAGCTGCGATGGAGGGCAGGGAAGCCCCACACGGCTGGTGTCATCAGGGTGGGTCTACCAGGGCATCCCCGGCCCCAGGCTGCACCTGGAGCAGTGCTCAGGGGTGAGAGAGTGTGGGCGGCCAGGCAGGCAGGGGAGGGGGTACCTCTGAGCAAATCTCTAGTCCCATCGGGCACCTCAGATCACTAACAGGGTCACGGTGGCAGGTGAAACCCTCAGACTGTCCAGGCTGACGCAGGGAAGAATGTGTACACACACACACACACAGACAGAGAAAGCCATGTGCCTCTCTTCTGAACAGGTGGCATGCCCAAGTGCCCCAGGGCACTCATGACCACCAATGCTGATCCCCAGCACCCGGCCAGCTGGCCCCCACTTTTCCCCACCCCAAGTCCAGCATCCAAACTAAGGGGGGACCCACCTCGCAGACACATGGCCTATTCCCTCACAGGAGGGGTAGCGGAAGAGACGAGGGCCTACCCCTCACCCCTGCTGCTGCTGCAGCCCTGCTCTGCCCCCTTAGAGGGAGTGGGGGCCATGCCCAGGAGATGAGCCACACCTCTCCTCTTATCCCCCTTTTCCTGCATCTCCGGACACTGAGAAAAACTGTCCTAATTTCGGGATGGAAAATGAGGTCAGGAGACCCCTGGGGTACTGCTTGCTGGTGACAGCTGACAGTCTTCGTGCCACCTTCCTGGCACAGAGGAGCGAGCATGTCCTAAACCTAGTTTTAAGGGGAGCTGCTGTCTTGGGAGGCAGGGTGAAATGTCACCAAATGGAAGCTCAGCTGTCAAGTCCAGCTAGCCCATCCCGAGCTGTGAACCACAAGGTCAGCAGTTCAAACCCATTTGCTGCTCTCTGGGACAAAGATGAGGCCTTTTGCTCCCATAAGAATTCAGAGTCTTAGAAACCCTCCCTGTCCTATGGGGTCACCTGAGTCCCCATTGACAGGATGGCAGTGTTTTTAAATTCCCTTCTGAGGCCGCTCCCTAACATCTGCAGGGCCCAGGGCAAGAGGACCGGTACAGACCCACCTGCCTCTCTCTAAGTATTTCAATGTCATAACTCAAGCTGGCAGATAAAGCATGTTCTCACTTCTCACCTGAAGCCCTGGTGGCATAGTGTTGGGCTGCGAGCTGCAGTTCAGAACCACCAGCTGCTCCTCGGGAGAAAGACAGGGCTTTCTGTCCCCATGCAGAGTCCCCCTGTCGTACAGTTACTATGAGTCGGCTTTGACTCGATGGCAGTGGGAGAAAGTGAGAACCTCTCATCTTGACCAAATACACTTCAGGACCACCTGGCAGCCTGGGTTAAATGTAAATCTCTGTCACTCCTGGGAGAGGTGTGCCACAGTGATGCAGGCTAGGGAGAAAGAGGCAGCTCTCCTGAAAGCCCTGGGTGTTCCTGGGGCCTGCAGGGGGCACACACACACACACACGTGCCTGGACAGCCTGTCTGCTTACCCTGACGCCCTCCATACGCCCTTCAAACAGCCATCCCTGGCTAGTCCTCAGGGTGAGGGAGCACATCCCAGGGGCAGAGTCTGTCCTGAAGAGAAGAGCCTTTGGAGACACGGAACAAGCTGGGGACCCCTTGGGCAGAGACCCCCAAGTCGGAGGCATTGAGAGTGTGCTCTGGAAGGGGCCCACGCCCACGGACTCCTGGAAGGCTCAGCCCCTCCCCTAGGCCCTGTCGACTCTTCTCACCCCTCCAGGAGGGATGTCCTGGGAGTGGCCCTTGAAAGCACTCTAGGCAGGGCCACCCAGCCTGCCTGGCCTTCCCAACAGCCTCCAGAGCTCAGGCCCAGGCCTGGAGCTGCCTTTCCATGGCAGGACAGCTTGCAGTGTCCCCAAGTAGCACTCTCAGCCACTAGTCTCTTCCTGGAAATTTTTTGTGTGGCTTGATCCCAATTTCGGGATTTCTGGAGGTGGGGAGGGCAGGGAGGTGATGACCATGGGGCTTTTTTTTAGGTTGGGTCTCTAAGCCAGAGCTTGTTCCTCGAAGGCACGGTTCCAAAAAGACTTCTGCTGCCACTGGTCCCTGCCCTGCAGTGGGGACTTTCTGCCATCCTAAAGATGAAGGCTGGAGCAAAGGGAGGGAGGGGCCCTGGGCAGCCAGCCCCAGCCCATCCAGGTGAGAGCCAGGGTCCGTCCGGCAGGAGTCAGGGGGTGAGGGGCATCACTCTCTGGCCAAGTCTGCCCCCCCCCCCCCCAACACACACACACACACACACACACGGGTTCTGCTGCCCTACACGGGAAGGGATGCTTGTGCTTGCTGAGCTCGCTCTAGGCACCAGGCACTGTGCTAAGTGCCTGACACGCAGTCTCGCTGTCTCCTGCCAGCCTCCCTGTGAGGTGAGTTCTACTGTTGCCCTCATTTTACAGGTGAGGGTGCAAACGCAGTGAGGGGGACAACCTGTCACGCACGCAGCAGGCAGAGGAGGCAGAACTGACCCCAAAGCCCACACCCATTCCTTCTACAGCAAACTGCCTCCCAGAAGCAAGAAACTGGCACAGAAGCAGAAGGAATGAAGGTCAGGTATGAGAAAGCACTTCCCAACAGCGCTGGTGTGAGTGGTGGGGCAAGACAATGGGCTAGGGAATCTAGACAGAGAGCTGCCAGCGCCTCCCCCCCACCCCATGTCACCTGTCTGTCCAAAGGCTTGTGATGATCCCTGGAAGCTCGGGAAGGCCCAGGGGGTCTCGGCTGGACCCAGATGGCCCCATCCCGGCCTCCTTCCACCCTGCAGTCTGCGGAGCCTTTGGGGCTCAGAACTCCAAGAGCCACATCTGAGCTGTCGCCTGGCACCTCTACCTACAGAAGTCTTCCTTGACGTCCCGAGAACGGGTCCCTATTTCTGCAGCCAAGTTCCAACTCCCAGGGTCCAGTGTGCCTCAAGTCTGTTCGCTAAGAGCACCTGTGTGATCCCTTCTCTCTAGACCCACAGAAGACCTAAGCAGTCCCCAGCTTTACGGCATTCGCGCCCGCCCCCCCAGCACCCGGCCCCTCACTGGCACACACGTATACCTAAGGGGCCTTGGCCTGGCGCGCATGCTCTGTAGCAGTTCCTAGAACACTTGCCCACAGGACAGAAGCCGTCTGGTCCAGCCATCTCTCCCGACCCCGAGTGAAGGGCTTGGATGAGGCACCCGCCAAGTCCAGGATGTCTCCTTACCCCGTACCGTACCCTTTCCCAGCCGGCTCCCTAAGGCAGTGTTGCCTTTTCACACCGCAGAGCGCTGCACGTTCCCCAGACGTGAGCCAAACCGCTAGATGCCCAGCTTGGGTGCGCCTTGCCGGGATCAGAATGTCCTTCTGGCCCCGGGGAGCCTCCAGTTTTTAGCTAAGGAGACAGAATCAGTCAGATGGGCTGCCTGGCTCTGTCTTCCCTCCAGGTGCTCAGCGGGGACCAGCCCGGGGCGTCGCAGACTTACCTGCGG